AAAAATTTTTTTTCTTCCTCCCCCCCCCCCCCCCCCCCTTCCTCCTACTTCACATACTTGCAGTGTTGGGTTTCATTTAAGTAATGTGATAAAAAATTTGCATTCTCTTGGAATATTGATGTTGAAAAGTTGTTCCATACACAGTAAGTATAGGCAATCACTTTGAGTAACTAGTGAATGCTATTATTTTACCTAAAATTGGAAGCATTTTTTTCTCAGCAGTCTAGATAGTGTCCAAAATGCTTTTGCCATTTCTGTCTGGCAAGAGTACTGTTCCTTACTTTTACATAAATAGTTGGCTAAGTCACCTAAATTCAAATTTCTTACCATTCTCCATTTCTTACTCTTCCAAAGACGCTCATGAATGCATAAATGTGCAACTGAGTAGTCCACCTCTTATGTGAAGCAGGTGGTAAAGATTGTATCATAACCAGCATTGCAGCATTTTCTGCTCTGCGTCTTGTGGTAGGACTAGGTCAAGGGTTTGGTGTTTCTGCACAACCCCTGTGCACAAGTGGAAGAGATCCATGCTACAGCTGCATACCCTTTTTGGCTCTATTACCATTATCAGTGTGTTTCAGAGGATTAGTGCAGACTTAAAGCAGATCTGATCATCTCTGCTTATTTCCCATTGGCTTGGGTCTCAGGGCAGTTTTGGTACATACAAACTAGACTCCTTTCAGAAGACACTCTACGTTGTCCAACCCATAGCAGAGACATAAGGGTCTGAAGCAGTCATTGCTCCTCTGGACAGGTTCACGTCACGTGTGGTACAGATGTTCAGTCCAGGGGACCAGACTAAGTCTTAGAGACAGGTTAACATGGAGGCTTCAGCACCAGCTGCTCCCAAACCCCTCCTGTTGTGACAAACTACTTGCTGATGTAGACAGTGTTTCTTTCAGTGGATTTTGATGATGTGCTATTTTTATCCAGACTGAGATACCTCTGAGGTGGAGGGTGGCAGAGTTCTTGGTAACTGATCCAAGAGTTGGACAGAAGCTGGCTCCAGAAGAGCCCTTCCTGCAGGTCTCTATAATGACAGACCTCCATTAACAGAACTCAGTAACGGGGAACAGCACCCTGAAACTAAACCCTTTAAAACAGGTGTCCTAAATATACCTCTAATAGAAAAAGGGTGCAATTGCTACAAACTGTAATTGCACAAATTGGAGCTAGCAGATGAGAGCTGTGCAACAGAAAAGCATAGATCATGGAAGAGTAGAGGTCCGGCAACAGAAGATGATAAAAGGATAGCTGGCAGGTCGGACAGGAGAGATGAGGTGGAAGTTCTAGAAGTTGTAGAAGCAGCAAAGATGTCGTTTACATGATCATAACGCTGTTGTGCATGCCTAAAAACAAAAGGAAGGACATTTAAACATAATAGCAATGGGGAAGAAGGGATAGTTTTCAGGTAGGTAGTGCCATGGTTGCAGCAACTGCATTACTGAATGAGGAAATGGTATGAACAAGCCGAAAGGCCTTGGCTGACAAATCAACTCCTCCCTGAGGAAATTTGAGGGAAGAGGGGGGATGTTTGTTTAGGAATCTCATATAATTCAAAGAGCAGTATCGATAGTCCCTGGTGGCTTTCCAAGGGATATGTGAATGAATCCTGGAGCTACCTTTTCTTGGGGAATCCCTGCCCATAATTAAAGTTTTATTTTAATTTTACATTAAAATTAAACTTAAGTTTTGAAGACAAGGAAAACCAATTAAACAAACACATTTTAAAGATAAAGTATATTCTTTACAAGGATCTTCAGTTTGAAAGGGAATCACTTGGTAGAAATCCCAGGTATCTGGACACTGCATCGTGTGTCTCGGAAGTCTCTGGTCATCTACAATGTTTAAAACTTTGCAAACTGTTTGGCACACATTTACTTTTTTTTTTTTTCCCTCTTCTGTGACATTTGTTCACTGTTGTTTTTCATCAAAGCCACAAACTTATTTCTTACTCTCTGCGCTCAATGTGCTATGTGCAATTTTTTTTGCAAATGGATCAAGCTATGGGGCCCAGAAACAGTAATTTACTAGTCTTGCCTTTGTTAATGCAAACAGTTGTGTTCATCTGGCAAGGCTTCATCCCAATTTTCCATGCCAAACATTTCCCTCAGAGACCCCTTAGTGACTGTAGCTGGAGGTTTGTTTGCTTAAGTGAAAGACTAAGGGGACAATGTCCTCGAGAAAACATTTTGTAGGAGCTGATTGCTTAAAAAGAGCCTTAGGAAGCTGCCTGTAGCCATCCCCTAATGATGAATGGACAAATGAAAGAGAGTACTGCTTTTATTCATTAGCATCTTTTTCCCATTCTTAAATCTTTTCCCTTTTCTGTTCAGATCTGTATTATATTTTTTAAACAGAATTGTCTTAAGTGAAGAGAGTTACAGATTAAGATAGTGTACAGTGAAAACATTAATCAATAACATGTTCATAACTGCTAGCAACGTTTGCCACAGCAAAAAAATATGCTCTTCAGGTTGAGTTGTTCTAATTTAATAAATGTAGCTGCTTATAAATTGAGAGCAGGCTGACCTTGGAAATTCATATTATAAGGAAGTCACACAGGTATTACTTTCCCTTTTTTAAATTCTCCTAAATTCAAACATGGCTGACAGATGAGATTAAAGATTGCAAATGTTTGTACCTAACACCAGCTAAGCTCTGGGTTGAGGAAACAAACAGCAGTTGGAAAGTTGGTGAGATAAACAGTTCTTCAGTGCATGATTATGGAGAACTGCTCTGTGATGCAAATGTTTCTATTGAAAGAAATTTATAATAAAAGCTGTTTGTAACAGCACTGCTGCAATTTATGCTGAGACATTCTTGTTTCTTTTTAATATTCTGAGGATATGAGACACGGAAACCCTCATCTCATATGGTGACAATCTACGTACACACAGGGATGGGGAATGTTTTCTTGCCAGCTTAGACCATCTTACCAGTTGCCAACAGTGTGTAGAAAGGCTCAGGTCGCAGGAACTTCCTTCCCCTCCTCTGTTAGGGTAGGCTGTCTGGGATCTGCCACGTGTTTGCCGTAGAGTGAGAGCGTGTAACCGGGGTGAACAAGCTGCTACACACACTGCCTGCCTTCTCACAACTGTCCCAGCAGGTTCTCGCTCCGCGCTTAAGGCAGCTCGAAGCTGCTTTCACTGCCCTGATGGAATGGGGTCACCGGAAAGTCGGGTGGGTCATCATGTGGGTAAACGATACTTTTCTTGACATTCTGAGTATTTTGACATTTTAATTAGGGAGAAATGATGCAACACGATGATCTTTCTAAATTGAGTAAAGTGGGTATTTATCTGCTTTGCGTTTGCTTTCAGAAATTCCACCTTCTCCTTCACTTGCCTCATTGTTCTGCAGAAACTTCACAATATACAAACATTGTAGTATTGTGGAGACCGGAATTAATTGTCAGAATCAAATCCAGAGAACAGAAATTCAGAGCACGAGTAATAAAGGTCTTGAGATACATGGCAGATTAATACAGAAATTTTAATTGCAAGGTATCTTGCCTTTTTTTTTTTTTTAATTTCAGTTAGCCTCTTACCATAACAGTAATATCATTTGTATGTGCTAATTTACTTGTAAATGTCACTCTAGAAGACATTCAAGAATATGAATGTGAGTCTGCTCTCAAAAACTGTGATGTCTCATTTTCTCTCCTCTCTAAGGTTTTATTCATGCTCTAATTCTGTTGCTAAATCAGTTAGTGGTGGCTCTTTTTTTTTCCTGCAGAAATTATTTTTTTCTTTAAATTGTTTTCACATAACAAATCAAAACTCTTTGATGAGCACAGATGAGTTTAAGACGTGCTTTTCAGATGTGCAGTGTATTCAGTTATTTTTTTTCTACAAACGACACTGCTAATCTGCTATGCTCTCAGATGAGTGCCTTATTAAAATCTTCAAATTTTATGATGCCCATTAGTAAAAATGTGAAGTAAGAAAATTACCAGTCAAAAATTCCCTGTTACAAAATATACGTTGGTTTATAGCCAGGATTCTGAAATTACAGCATTGTCATTTAGGGACATACCGTAGTAATAAGCAGGCAGTAAGCTAATGTACTTTTAGAAAAAGTTTCTTTCTTTCCTTTCCTCTCATTTCATTTAAAGTTTTTGGTTTTGTACCAGATGAAACATAAAGGTTAAATGTTAACATCTCACTTGAATACACAACAGAGAAAGATGAAGAGGGAGCGTGTTCTGTTGCAACCCCTTGGTTGTCAGTAATGTGTGTGTGTAGATTTCATGAACTCCAAAAGAAGCTTAATTAATTTAATTATTATTATTAAATATTATTATCTCTTTAATTGCTAATCTGTATGTGTGTGTCTAACAAATCCTTTCTTAGCTTATGAATCAATGTAGTAATTTTCAATATTTTGTGTTGATTAACTTCTCATTTTTGTGTAATTAACATGAGCATTTATCTTGCTGGCTTTTTATATGCTCTTTATATGCTTGTATATAGCTCAACAAGGAAACTTAACCTGCCTTATGGCAAAGCAATGGCACCTTCTAAGATAAACCAAACTAGAGTATTGAACTAAGCTTACCGTTTCTTTCTTTTTCTTGCAGAGCTGGAGTGGACCAGAGAAATTACTTGCTTTAGATGAACTGATTGATAGTTGTGAACCAACACAAGTAAAACACATGATGCAAGTGATAGAGCCCCAGTTTCAAAGAGACTTCATTTCCTTGCTCCCAAAAGAGGTGAGAAATACAGGTTAATACTGGACTATGCAATGCATCAGCCACTTTTTAAAAACTGCCATGCTAATTATGGCATTCAGTTTTGCCAATACAGTGATGTAAACTGATGTTAGAGGTCCACAATATGGTACACTGCCATAATATGGCAACTGATTAAACATACTTTTATTCCTTTAGATACCTGGAAATATGGGTGACTCCTTTAAACACAATCCCAGTGTCTTTAGAAATATCTCTGTATCTTAATTGGGCTGATTGTGCTTTTTTTTTTCGAGAACTAATTCTGTTAAGGCATGCACACACAAAAATTTCCTCTGGATGCAAGGCCTTTCTGTACATTATTCTGTAAGTATAAGCATTATTTTTTAATGCTTTATATGTTGGGAGTTTTGTGAATATTATCTTTGAATTTATTTTAAACAAACTGAGCCCTAAAATCTCTACCAAAAAACCCAAAAGTAAACCCAGAAAAGCACTTCTCACTAAGGATGAAGCCAAACCCTAATTAAGCAGATATCTTACAGTAAATCCTTTACTGCAAATCAGATTATGTTGTGTCAGGTTAAAGAGAAACTAAGATTTAGATTTCAGCGTGTGTAACTAAACGCTGTCCACAGAAGAGTAATTCTTGATGTCCTCACAACTAGAACATGAGGATGGACATGAAAGATTATAAACCCAGTTTGCTACAATTATTAAATGAATGTATTTTCGTTAATTTAGAAATGGTACCTCTGACCTTGATTGATTTTAGGGAATCAGAAGTAGTTTTGTTATTTGGATTGGGGAGGAAGTCTGTTTTCTTTTGGCAGATCTACTGCATGTTGGGTTTTCCATGTAAAAATGTTCATGAGGGCTGAAGTCTTTGTAAGTCTTCAGATACTAACACATTCCAAAGCAAGTTCTTAAGAGGTATTCTGGTGTGAGTATGTGGTTGCTGTGTTTGACATGGTCTTACTACTCGAAGACTGTTCTCTATCTCTGTTTCTTGACGTTTTTTCTGGTGTATATCCTGTTTTTGAATACTTAGATGTACAAGACCCTTCTTTCCTTTTATATACTGTTATATCTTCACAAGTTAGGAAGTGTCACAGCCTTCCCTTGCTGGTTAGCATTTGTAAGGGGTTGGAAGCAATTTATGCAACAAGTATTAACTTAGTACACATGTCATGAGATTAGTATTTACAGAAGCACTTCCTGTGGCAGCCGCCTTCATAAATGGAAAGGACACTGGGGGAGGAGAAGAGTTTAGTAAGACCTCTAGATGGTTGCCATGTTTCTAGAGAAGCTGCCCAAAGCAGCCTTACTTCAGAGGCGGAGGAAGGCAGCAAGACTATATTTTGAGAAGACAGAAGATACTTTGCCACTTCTGCATCTATTAAGTCTGGAGATCTAATACAGAATTGATAACAGTAACTCACAGCTTGGTTGTCTTTGCATGATTTAGTGGCAAAACTAATTCAAGTACAACCAGAGATCTACTTATGCTGCAACTAATGATCATGTTATTATTTCAGTTTTAGTGACTTCTTCATAGAAAAGATATGCTATTTAGTTGTAAAACTTTCTTTTTCACTTATGTTTCTTGCCTCTATTGTAAGCTACTTGTGTTTAATTTGTTTATTTTTAGTGTTTTTTCTTGCATCTTGAAACCAGAATACTGTCAAGTGCTTAGCTTTATGAAAGGCTGACTTCACCAGTGAAGGTGACTTAAATAATTTTCACTTCCTAACCCCCAGTCACTGTCACCAAAATGAACTGAGTTAAACGCAAAAACCCGATCAAGCTAACTCCACCATCTCCTCTCTGTTTTGAAGATCATTCTACACCCAGATCTCCTAAGTGATGCTGTCCCCAGCTACTTACGTTGGCTGTGGTAGGGGGTGACGAACTGAGCTGTGGGGGCAAGAGCAAGTTGTTAGGGTCAGTAATTCTGTAAACAGGCTTCCCTGTCAAAGCCAGCATCCTGTGAAAACATGCTCTCGTGAGTTGTCGCTCCACATTAACATCTGTAGTTATCTCCAGTGCTGTTGGATACAATGCAGTGATTTTATGACCTAACCAGAACAAGAAGATGATTTGGACAGGAGGGCTTTTCTTCAAAAACGTTTTCAGCAATGCAAAGACAGTAATTTAATAGCTGAATAACCAAGAAAATATTTGCTTTCCTCCCAAGGAAAGATGCAGTCGAACAATTAATCTGAAATGAATACTCCTGTTTTCTTGCTGAGACTTTAGAAATAATTATTGAAATTACTTGTTTGTGAAAAACAGGTCTAGACACCAATAGATAAGGAGTTTTGCTGAAATCAGCCACAGAAATTTTGTTGGTGCTCTGTGTGTGAGTGAAGAAAAAGGTGAGAGACTGCTTATTATTTGGTATTATTAACACTACTGCAGAGAGTAGTCCTAAATACAGTTGAGTCAAAGGTCAGAACTTTGCTACCTGAAGTTTTCTTCTAACTCGATCCATGAGCTGAGACAAAGGGACGTCATCTTTTATGCGCTGGTAATCTTAAAGTCAACTGTGGGCTCTGTTGACCCTCAATGGCTATTTAGATAAATATAGTCTGAAATAAATGTCATCCATATGTAACCTGTTTTAGAATCAGTTGGCTCACAGGTTTTAATTAACAGCATCTTAGCAACCATCCGTATCTGTATAGGTAGGACAAGTGATATTTAAACAAACTCTGCTGTCAGTTAAGGAACATCCAGGCAAAATGGAAAGGATCTCTTTCATGTTTGAGTCCTGCCGCATGCAGGACTATCTGATGTGTGTTAGGAAACAGTACTTCTTAAGTAATTTTACATACCAGGAATTAAGACAGAAAGTCTAAAAGGACAGGTACAGTTGTTGCTCTTGTAATAGAGAGGAGCCTTACACCAGGTCCTAAATGCTGACTCCCTGAGTAGGGACAGAAGAAAGATTCCTCGGCGTTATGGCCTGGGGTGCATACGGGATCTAATGCATAACTTAAGACAGGTCCCTCAAATGCGGAGTCCCTACGTGCTCAACGTGAGCTGCAGGTGATGACATGCAAACAAGGTGTGTGCAGTCAAAATGCAATCAGTTCTGGTGTACTGATTTTTTATTTCCTGCCTAGTCACTGGCTGGTCTAGGTTACTGAAAGTAAACGTTTCTCACATAATAAGGTCAAAAATCTGCTGAGGTCAGCAGCCTATGGTTATGACTTCTTTACTGAATTTCAGCCTGTGCTGCTTTGAAGGGCAAATTCTATTTATAAACATTATAACTTCAGCTAAAAATTAAATAAAAAATCCTAAACACAAAAGGGTATGTCAAGCAGAAGTAAAAGTGGATGATCTGATTTTGAGTTCCCTGACAACTTCTGCATCCTGTTAGTTACTGACAAAGACCCCACTCTTTCAGCATATAAGTAGTTCTCTGCATCGCTTTTTATCAGTATGTTCTGTCTGCAGTTTTTAGCCATGGAAGGGACTTTCCTGCATCTTACACTTTTATTTTCCATGACTGGGGAGATGCATTGTTGCTGTCAAGTAGAAAAGCTCTGCTTGGTCATCATACCCTTAATGGTAGCTGTCCCTGTATTTCGGATTGCGTTTTAGATGCCTCTGTCCCTGTTTAAGACTTCAGTACCTCTGAAGATGTTTGTGGAGATTTCGGGGGTTTTATCATGGTCGTTACATGGCTCAGCTTAGTCAATTGAGGTCTGAGTGCTCCCAATAACCTTTAATTTTGTCACATGGAAAAGTTCATCTTGTTTATCTTCTGGTGCTCATTGGGATTTCCCATATGTTTTGGTAACGTACTGTGTACAGTATCAAAGTTACATATTCAGTCCTTCTGCATCCCAGTCTGTAAAACTCCAGGTACCACCACTTTAGGAGCGTGTTTGCATTCTAATCAGAAAATGAGCGATACGTATGCTGCATTCCCTACAGCTGCAGAGTGCTTTTGAACTCAAGTGCATGTAGCATTTCTGTATTTAGGCTTACTGAGTGATGTTATTCATCACAACATACTTTCCTATTTGCTCACATGGCGAGTGTTGTACTTTCTAGTTAAACTCTCAAAGTAACTTTCGGTATACTTGTTAGCTAAAATAACAGAGACATTATTTTAGTAATAGTTCTGTTAATGGTTCATAGTAATGTGGATTACATTTTTTAAAAAGAAAATAGTGAATTCAGCTGACATCTACTTTCTTGCAAATACAAGAATCATTTCTGATGTGATCTGTATGGATTTAGTTACTTCAGATAATTGTTATACTTTAATGTGCCCACTGGAATAAACTGTAGCTCCATTAAGTTTCTGAGATTGTTTAATAATTTATTGTTTCAATTTTCTGTATTTCAGCCCCTGATGTGTGATAATACATCGAGTTACTTCACTTTTCCTTTCAAAAGCAATGCAGAAGATAGACTTTATTTTTCTTTTTTACAGCTGGCACTGTATGTGCTGTCATTCCTGGAACCCAGGGACCTTCTGCAGGCAGCCCAGACATGTCGTTACTGGAGAATTCTGGCTGAAGATAATCTTCTCTGGAGAGAGAAATGCAAAGAGGAGGGTAAGGCTGAGCAAAAAGATGGATGTAATGGTCAAAGTGTTGCTGTCGTAAAAAGTGCAGTTCATTTACATAATAAGCTTAAAGTTTTACCATGGCAATTCGTGTGACTTAAATTTACTACTAGTGATGCTTTGAGTTATGTGGTATGTATCTCTGTTGAAAGTAGGAAGCAGAAATAATCCATGGAGTACTAGAAATGAAACTAGAGTTAAGTTTGAACATCCCATTTATAAAGTATACTAGGTGTATGTTTTTAAAATACAATCAGTTTTGCTTTTTAAAGATTATTTTTATTCAGAATACAACCAAAGCAAATAAGAGCTGAGATATAAAAATGGTAGGAGTATAGTCTTGCAGTTTGTAAATAACATGGAGGAAAAACTGTTTCAGTGGTTGGGCAGAAAGGATGCTGTAATTTCATGTCATTTGTAGGAATATTTAACAGAGAAATGGCACATAGTAGGGGGAGAAGGTGCTAACTTGATTGCTTAGAGAGGGACACACAACCCGTAAGCCACATGGATGTTGCCTGCTCGTGTCAAATCCAGAAGATGCAGTGGTTCAGCAGTAGTATGAATGGGCAAAAAAAAGGCTCCCAGGAAAGTAGCCACATATTTGAGCACATGGAGAAGGTAAGCTTTTATTTTTAAGGAGAATTACATGAACAGGGAGTCTGATCTGGGGGGCAGAGCACATGCATGTGATCTCAGTATCCCTCATGGACACAGACAAAACCAGGGACCTGTCCAGGCTGCCTCGGAGTATGGAGACAAGAACTTGTGAGAGGTTGATGCAAAGGCTTTAACAAACATGACAGTGTGAATATCGCTGGCTATTTGTAAAGATACCTAAATTAATTAGTTTTCTTTTGCAATGGAAACCAGGTGTCTAACCTCTTAAATCTTCTCTAACAATTCTCCTCTTAGAAATTTCAGTGAGAATGTATTAAGAGGACAGAATGAGAAAAAAGGAGAAGGTTGAGGGGGGAATGAGCCTACATTTGTGAGCTTAGAAGTAAAAATAAATATGGCCAGGCATGAGAGCGCAGACAATCAAAACCGTATTGTAGACTGGTTAGACTTAGTGAGGCACTCAGTAATATGAAGGAGCAGTTAATTCAAAACTTGCAGATAGAGACACCAGAGAAGGGGCTGAAGGCAGAAGAGTGAAATGCACATACTGGCAAGAGACAAGACTCTTGCTAGTAATGAGATGCAGTAGAGAGAGGAGCTGCATAGAAAAGGGAGATGGGTGAGAGAATTGTAAAAAAAGATACATCTCTAGTAGTGAGGCTAAAACAAAGCACTACCACTTAAGTGTCGGTTCAGAAAGGGCATAGCTATACTTACATTCCAGCCAGGAGAGGACAATGCCAAAAGCACACAGCCTTTCAAATCAAGAAAAGACTTAAAAGCTCGAAGGGTTCCAAAACGAGCATACAAGTGGTTATGGAGTTTGTTGGACAATACCCATTTGAAAAAGGCAGTAATCTGCTACATTGCCTCAGAAAGGGGGATCAAAACCAAGCTAGTAGGTTGCCAGCAAGGAATGATGAACTAGAGCATTTTCAGCCACGATTACCGTAATATTTATGCTTAAACAACAAGGAAAGATGTAGTGTAAAGAGCTGAGGAGCAGGGCGGTGTCAGTGACACACAGTGCAAATATTGGCATGCGGGAGGTTGTTACGTCAGTGCAGTATTTAATGTCAGAGGTCACTGTAAAGGTGTGGGAGGGAGAGAAGTTGTTTTCTTTGGAGTGGCCTCATCTCTCCCCCTCCCCCCTTTTTTTAAAATTCATTTTAGGGATTGATGAACCATTACATATCAAGAGGAGGAAAGTAATAAAACCAGGCTTTATACACAGTCCGTGGAAAAGCGCCTACATTAGACAGCACAGGATTGATACCAACTGGCGGCGAGGAGAACTTAAATCGCCTAAGGTAAGTTTCTGAGCTATGTGCATGGTGCCATGAACAAAATGGGATCAACTCATAGGTTTGTTTTTTTTCTTCGGACAAGCCAGACTATCCCTGCACAAAAAGCAACGTATTGTTACAGAAAAAAAAAAAAAGTATTTTAGCTTACCCTGGGTTTAAATTAATTTCTGAGCACCATATTAACAAATCAAAATGTGATTCTTCATGCAGCAGAATTCTTTCACTGCTGTTCTAAAAACTTCTGTGCAATTTCTTGAATTCCTATAAATATGCCAATCTCTTTGAGACAGATAATCTCAGAAACTTTCTTGGAAATACTTATATTTAAAATTAAACATACACACACATATATATGTAAATATGTATATGTATGTATGTATTTGTAGAGCTGGGCCATGTTGCTACATAAAAATGCTTCACAAGTATTCTGTGATCATTTCATGCTTTATACATACTCTTCTAAATTTAGCAGCACAAGACAACAACTTCATTCCATGTTAAGATTCTTTTTGTTAAAATACTAAACTTCTTTAATGACACTGATATGCTACGGTTGCGTCTTTTCCAATATGAAGATATGAAGCAATACTTCAAACCTTTTGTAAAATAAAATAGCAACTGTCTAATCAAACCTGGTATTGAACAAGCAGAAACATGAACAAAACACATATTCATAGCCTTTTAAGGTTTTAAGGCAATTTGCCTGTTTTCTTGATTACTGTACCACAAAATAATAAAAATAAGAACAAGAAAAAATCCCGTGGAAAACCTATGGCTATATCCCACTGTTTATTTGGCCGTGACTTACGTACATCTCTGGCAACGGCTCTGTATTTCTTGCCTCGATACGCCACATCAACTTGTCTTGGAATTATTATTAAAATTACAGCCTCAGGCATTATCCAAATGCCCATTTCATTTCGATGAACATCTTGAAAAGTGTTCAGCTATCTTAAAATATTCCTCATCCTATGTATTCTGATAAGGATTTCTTTGCTGTATTGCAGTACAGTGTACTGAATTGCAGTTTTTCCCAAATCAAGCATTGAAAATCCCACCTCTATAAAGCACCATCCAATCCACACTTCCAGCACATTAAATTATTGCTTTTGTTTGTATTTAATCGAGTTAATGGTTTTCTATTTTTTTTACTTTGGTGCTGCCTGGCATTTCACAGATTACAATGCTTGGCTGGTAAGGAAAAAAAATAGATATAGTCAGCCTTGACCACTGAAATGCAAATAAGCAGCAAATAATACAACCCCATCCTTTTTGTTCAAGATTGAAACAACTCTTAAAAGGTAAAAACGTAACTCAGCTGAAAAATAAAGAGATGGAATAACTGCAGAGGAATTGAGCAATGTCCAGTTACTAATTCAGCCTACTTTTATGAGTGATTTTTCCTAGTACTTTCAGGAGACTTGCAGTAATTGTGGCGTGCTTGCTAAGCAATGCTGTGCACACTCCACAGAGGAAGGAAAATACCTTCTTTGGTCCCAGCCAGCAGTAAATTAGACCTGACACACGGGATTAAGGGGCCTTACTGTTATTGAAGCAACTCCAGCATTTTATAATTTATGAATCAGAAGAGCACTTTGTTTCTCTGGCTTCTCTCTAATCTCCTGTGTTAAATTGTGACTGTACGTTTTTATGTTCTTTATTGTCAGGTGCTCAAAGGCCATGATGACCACGTGATCACATGCCTTCAGTTCTGTGGGAACCGAATAGTGAGTGGCTCTGATGACAACACACTGAAAGTGTGGTCAGCAGTTACAGGCAAGGTAAGTCAGTTATTCTGCTGAATTCCTTAGGAAATGAGCTACAGGTAGAGCACCGGTATGTCAAAAAAGCTGCTGTGCCATCAGACCGAACTGCAGGGTGGTCCTTAGTGCCATCTGGTGCAAAAATCGGAAAAAGTACCGGTAAACATTTGGGTCATTGTGATGGGTTGACCCTGCCTGGACGCCAGGTGCCCACCAAAGCTGTTCTATCACTCCCCCATCCTCAGCTGGACAGGGGAGAGAAAAATATAACAAAAGGCTCGTGGGTCGAGATAAGGACAGGAGAGATCATTCACCAATTACCATCATGGGCAAAACAGACTCAGTTTGGGAAAATTAACTCAATTTATTACAAATCAACCAGAGTAAGGTAATGAGAAATAAAACCAAATCTCAGAACACCTTCCCTCCACCCCTCCCTTCTTCCTGCGCACAACTTCACTCCCGGATTTCTCTACCAAACCCCCCCAGCAGCACAGGGGGATGGGGATGAGGTTTACAGTCATTTCATCACACATTATTTTCTGCTGCTTCATCCTCCGCAGGGGGAGGGCTCATCACACTCTTCCCCTGCTCCAGCGTGGGGTCCCACCCACGGGAGACAGTCCTCCACAAACTTCTCCAACATGGGCCCTTCCCATGGGCTGCAGTTCTTCACGAACTGCTCCAGCATGGGTCCTTTCCACCGTGTGCAGTCCTTCAGGAGCACAGTGCTCCAGCATGGGTCCCCCACGGGGTCACAAGTCCCGCCAGAAAACCTGCTCCGTGGGCTCCTCTCTCCACAGATCCACAGGTCCTGCCAGGAGCCTGCTCCAGCACGGGGTTCCCACGGCGTCACAGCCTCCTTCGGGAACCCACCTGCTCCGGCGTGGGGTCCTCCACGGGCTGCAGGTGGATAGCTGCTCCACCGTGGACCTCCCTGGACTGCAGGGGGACAGCCTGGCTCACCAGGGTCTTCACCACGGGCTGCAGGGGAATGTCCGCTCCGGCGCCTGGAGCACCTCCTCCCCCTCCTTCACTGACCTTGGTGTCCGCAGGGTTGTTTCTCTTACATGTTCTCACTCCTCTCTCCGGCAGCTGTTTCTCTCTTTCCCAACTTTTTTTTTTCCTTCTTAAAAATGTTATCACAGAGGCGTTACCACTATCACTGATTGGCTCAGCCTTGGCTGGCGGCGGGTCCGTCTTAGAGCCGGCTGGTATGGGCTCTCTCGAACACAGGGGAAGCTTCCACCAGCTTCTTACAGAAGCCACCCCTGTAACCCGCCCCCCGCTACCAAAACCTTGCCACACAAAACCAATACAGTCATCTTTTCCCACACAGAAACTAGTCTAGTTCAAAAAAGTCACCTTGATGTGAAATTGCAATGCTGCTCATGTTACCACTGGCACATATCCTTGTTCTCTTGGCAATTCTGCTATTCTTGTGTAGTCGTTTGTGACGTGGATTCTAAAGAATTTGGACAGATACTTTGCTTTATCTTCCTTAAAGCTTAATTTAGCCTGCTTTTACCCCTCTGGATCTCCCTTTTTCACTTGTCTTCTAGCATTCTTTCTGTTGTTTCCAAGTTATTGAAATGGGTTGTTCATTTTACTGGCTCTGATTTCAAATACAGAGTTTGTTTTTCTTTCTAAGCTACTATATTGCTGAGCCACCAAAAAAAAAAAAAAGTAACTTGCTTTAGGTTTAAATATTTCCTATTAAATTAGATCCAGCTCAGGCAGGAATTTAATAAGCTTCAATAATTTAATTTTGGCTTAGAGAAGCAAAACAATATGTGCAATCAAAAAGACAGTACTGAACATTTCGCTCATGTTAGAACATCACAGCTACTCAGCATACAGATTTTTTGTTTTAAGGTGACTGACTGACCGTGCTCTAAAGATACAGAAAAGGCCCCAGGGAAACAGTACTTTTCCCTTGTAGACTAGCATTGTGTGTACTTGGCTTTGTTTTAATGATACAGTTACATGAACAACAGGACAGCTATTGAGGATAATGTGTTTAAGAGGTAGAAGGTATCCACTTTATAATGTTGAAGCTGAATGGATAAAGCATTTGTCTTTGCATGCCTAGAAGATCCTTGATGGGATTGTAAATACTACTGTGGGGAAGAATAAAATTAAAAGCAATAGGCAGCCTCACCCTGCCTCTGTTGGCTTCCCTACAACAAACTGTCTAATGAAGGAACCCATATTGAAATTTACATTTTTTAATTGAAAAGGGCAGCCTAAACTCAAATGAAAAATACTTTCTTTGTACATACCACCGTCTCAAAAGCAAAATGTTCCTTTAAATATATAAAATTGATCATAGTAGCATGACTTAACAATTCCTGTTCAGTAATTTTTTGAAAGTAATTACAAATCCTAGTGTGACTATTTACCCCAAACCTTTAAGAGAGCCAGAAATTATATATGAAAGATGGAAGAGTGCTATATCAGCCTCCATGCTTACTGATGCTGAAGAATTAATAAAATAAAAAAAACCTAAAGGTTGGTTTGTGCAAATGAACATGACTAAATAATTCCCTTGACAGATGTAAAGCCCAAAATAAGGATTCTGTGTTCTTACTGCTTTAGAAGGATGATTTCTTAAAATATGAGCAAATCAGTTGAAATTTTAAAAAAAAAGGGAACTGTAAAAGTGAGTAACAGCTCTGAACTGAAAAAAGATGGGATTTGATAGCAGTGAACTAAGCTAGGAGCCAGGAATTGCAGAAGACTGGTAAAAAATGTTAAAGAACAGGAAATCTATGTACAGCAAAAAAGCAAAGGCATTTTCAAGGATGTTAGAAAGAACAGGACATTAACAACAGAAATTAGTATACTATCACTGATGCAGAAAAAATATTTATTTGGGGAGAAAATTCATGTGATGGAGATACAGCATGCAGTAATAACAGAACATTTCAGCAGAAGCTCACAAGGATGTTCAAAAACAACTACCAAAGTTATGTTTTTTCTTATTACAGCTGATCCAGATAATCTGTATTTGATGATTTTTTCCTAAAGTAACCTGTGGGGTAAAATTGGTATTTCTTCAGAAGGTATGAGCACAAGGAGAAGATCCAAAGAATGGCCAGAAAGCTAAAATTTGTCAATAATTAAATTCAGTAAACTGAAAGACTGGGTAGTTAGGATACGTTATCTCAGATAAAAAATATTGGACTACAACAAGAGGAGTCAACTAACAGTTAAAGGAAGGCCACGGCAATTAATGCCACTTGGCATTAGATTACAGAAGAAGAGATCATCAAACTGTCTTGACCTCTTTTCTTGTGCAGTTACAGGTTTGAATGATAAAAATAATCATGCAGAAATAGATGGCTATGTGCACTGTAAGGCTGTATCCCCATGACACCACTGAAGAAAATAGACCAATGCAAAAAACAACGTGGCATATATTTAAATGGGTTAGAAAGTGGGTAATTATAGAGATCATGTTGTTAATGTAAATGAAGAATCTTCATGGAGTATCTTTCTAGAGGGGTCTTGCAAGGATCTCTTCTTGTCAGTGCTAATTAGCACTTATTGCTGCCTGGTGAGAAAGCTTATATAGTCGTTACTTGTAAAGAGTACAGACTGAGAGACAGAGACAAGTCATTGTTGCAGAGTGACAGAGGTTTTATAGAAGTAGGTATGAGCAATCACTTGTCTCTACATGGTGAGAAATCATGTCGTACATTTGGGATCAAAGAAGGTAGGCTGTGCTTATGTAGTGTGCGATTCTCTGCTGGGTAACAGTAAAGTGAAAAAGGTTTGAAACGTGATTTTGCAGTATTGATGCTGTAGCTATGGCTCACAGAATGCAATATTTCTTGCATAAACAGAAAACTACAATAAGAGTATATGGTTTACAGATTGGTGGTAAAACTACTAAGTGAATGCTTTCTCCAGTTCTAATACTCACGCTTCAAAAAGCTGTTGGAAAACCTGCAGTGACTCAGAAAAATGCCAGGAAAATGACTCAAGGCTGCAAAACATGCCATGTATTGAGAAATTTGGAAAGACAGTTTAGTTTATCAAGGGGAAGATTGCAGGGAAAATTCCTTATAGTCGAAGTACTGACAATGCAGAGAGAAATTTGATGACTGTTTTCTAAAACGTGGGATTTTTTAGTTCAATCACAAAGCAGTCTCCAGGGGTCTTCTGGCTCTTGCTATGAGAGACTACTGTTACCTCCTAGATTACTTCAGTTTCCATTCAACTCTGTCAACAGGGTAACTAAGCAAAATATTTCTTTTCAGTGTTTGAGAACATTGGTTGGGCACACAGGCGGAGTCTGGTCATCACAGATGAGGGACAATATCATCATCAGTGGATCTACAGACCGAACGTTGAAAGTCTGGAACGCTGAGACCGGAGAGTGCATACACACCTTGTACGGACACACCTCCACGGTGCGTTGCATGCATCTCCATGAGAAAAGGTAAGGCTTTGTCTAAAGCTACAGCCACAGTTTGGCTTGTAATTTACACCTATGTTCACAGAAGATGATTGTTAAACTTGGGTACCTCATCCAACATTGAGTGAAATACAAACCAGACAAAGCATTCAAACTAAACTACATAAATCAACACAAGGGAGGAGATGATTAATAGAAGCAAAAGCATAAGAGTACTAATTAAAGAACAGAAAATTGAGTCATGTACTTTATAAAGTCACATTCTACATTATTTCAAAACTAATTCTTTGTTGTGCTGTGATCCAGTCTCCCACGCTGAATAATTTCTCCTTTTTGTCAATGCTACAAACTTTTACTCATTTTACAGAATGACTTTTTAAGTACCGTCACTGCAGTATTTTATTTAAATATTAACTGATCATATCATAGTTTCTGCAATAGTAAACCATGTCTTGATTCAACGAACACTGGCAAAGCTGTTTTACTTGGCTGTGGTAATGAGCTGTTGACAGAGTGCCTGTTGGTTGTATTTCTTCTCTTTTGAAGAATGATGAGGTTTTTTCTTTGTCAATGCCATTAATATTAATTCCTTCTCATTTCTGTTCTTGCCTAAAAAAGCTTTTAAAAGTATAAACTGAAAAAAATCAAGCAGACTAACTTTCACTAAAAGTAAAACTTCTAAAGATCTTCTTTGTTTAGTTGTTAGAATTAGTTAACTCAGTCATTAGAACAGAATGCTCATAGCACTGGGTGAAGCTCAGCATATTCATAAGCTTTCATAGATAGATACAACAGTCCACATAATTTCTCATGACATTGTTTTGCTGTTCAGGAATGAAGTGCCTTTTTAAATACTGATTGCTAATTATATCAAATAGGCAGATCCTGAGGAGGTAAGTAGAGTAAGGAAGAAAAACACTCAAGTCATTTGCCACCCTAATGAAATGTCATGCCAAACTCGATCTTTGGCAGCTAGTGGACTAATGCTATCTAATGTCCCAAATTAAAACTTTTAACTGATTTATACCCAAGTCTAATTGTTTTTAACAAATACTTTAATGTCATATCCTAAGTACAGGAGGGGTTTTCTTGTTCCTCCAGAGTGGTCAGTGGGTCTCGAGATGCTACACTGAGAGTTTGGGACATAGAGACGGGCCAGTGTTTACACGTGCTGATGGGCCACGTAGCTGCAGTTCGGTGTGTTCAGTATGACGGCAGAAGGGTTGTAAGTGGTGCATATGATTTTATGGTCAAAGTGTGGGATCCAGAGACAGAGACCTGTCTGCACACACTGCAAGGGCATACTAACAGAGTCTACTCATTACAGGTACGTGATTTTCATCTGCCACTTTAGTTTCCTTAAGTAACATTTAAAGTCAGTTTATTTCACCTTGTTTATTAAATTGTGGGTACCTACTCCAGAATTATACAGGCCACAAGAATATAAAGGCATCTGTGGTAGTCCCCTCTTTCTAAATTAAGACAACATATAACTAGTGTAACGAAATGAAACAGAGAATTTTTTAGAGGAGCTTTTTTTTTTTAAAGCACCCAGTACAATAAAGCTCAAATCTCCATAACAGCAAGTTAAGTAGTTTTGTGGGTTGCTGGGTTGTTTGGTTGGGGGTTTTTTTGAAATCTTGCATGTATTTTGGAGCTATGTTTTTGCTTTCCCCAAAGAAATTCTAAACCTACTGTTTTAAATAAATCAGATGCTATAGTAATTGAAAATGTGCCAAAACCCCCATGGGATTAATGTTCTGAATTATGCAGATCTGTTTATCCTTATTTTGTAGTCCCATCTTCCAGTTCCAAACTGTAATTCACAGTAAGGCTGAATCTAAAATTTTAATGTTCTGATGTAAATCTCCAGCCTTCTGCTTCCTCTTCTCTGACTAGAGGCCAGATCTACAACTGTGAGGCTTTGTCAGCAGAGACATGTTATTGTAGATGCAGGTTATTATGGTACTGCTCTGTGGCATGGCTCTATTGCCTACCAGTCATGTGAACTGCTCATCAGAACTAAGCTAGCAAAGATACACACAGACCTCATGTAGGCTATTCTTACTTTTCCTAACCCAAAAGATCATCTTGTTCATTTATAGAGTCAAAGCATCACTTCCAGGCATTGAAAGGCGAAAGAAATTAATTTCATGCTTGTGCCTGTTCTCACCACAATCTGGCAGAACTTGAAAAAGAAATTAACAAAGACAGTTCAAAATTGGGAAATTGTATTTGGCATGTAACTACTCTAGTTTGTGGCTCAGAAAGTGAAGCTCAGTGCTAGAGACATTTTTCATGGAGTGTATCTTTCATAAGGTGTATCTTGTCATAATAGATTAAATGTGGAAAAAATACCTAATTGGTTTCCTTTCCCAAAATATGTAGTAAAATTTATCAAAAATCTCCAGCCCTTCTCTTACATTCACATGCTGGGGAGTACTCTCTAGACAAGCAGCAAGCAAGTTGAAAATGCTGTACCCTACCTACCTGTCTCGTAAAAATATTCCAAATGTTGTATTTCATCTAGGGCAGTTTGGGAACAGTGTATGTTACTCTGCCTTCTCTTCACCAGTGCCTCTTGTTTTGGCTTGTGAATATTCATGTCTTGCTCTGATACTGTAGTAATAATGGATCAAAAAATTGGGGTTATGTTACACACCAATACTATTTACACCCTGTAAATGGAGTTTGGCATTCTGAAACAAATTTCTGGGGGACAGGAAGCTACCGGTGCTTACAGTTTTAGGACAGAAAGATTCTTTAAAATTGCATGGTGAGCTCCTGCCCTTTGGCCTGAAACAGCCCCAAACAGCAGAACTCCCATAAATACTATAATCAGGCTGAATAACCAGCCTGTCCTCCCTGTCCCCACTCCATGGCAGGTTCTATTATACCCCAGTATTTCCCCATTTGTAGACCCCCTAGCATTTTTCAGAGATCCTTATGTGGCAGTTGAAGACTACTGACCGTGTTGAGTTTTCTTCCTCTTTCTTAGCTCCTGTTGAAGCAATCCACAGATCCTCAGGGTTCATGGATAACAGCTCAACCACTGATCCAAACTCTTGTCTGACTGTAGCAATATCAGAGTAAAGTTTGTCTTGATGCCCAGCCTGAAAGCTCTCTTTCTGAATACCTTATGTACCTGGAATACAATTAATCTGTAGGAAAGGGGGAAAGAATTCAAAATTTGTTACGTCAATCCGGTTTAGTTCTGTTTAGGAAAGAAAAACATTCTGTAGTGTTTCCATCCAACAAGTCTGCTGGGCTTAGCACTCCTTGTCCTTTTGTCTGAACTCAAATTAGTTCACATCCTCTTTTGAAAGCAGGGTGCCCAAAACAGGATGCAAAATTCCAGTCAAAGTCTTACCAATGCTTACTACAAGTGAAAAGTTATGTTATATGTCTTACACAGCAGATGCCTATTTCAGATATCAGAGCATCTTTTCTTAGTTTATTTTCACCAGAAATGCAATGCATACAGCAGATAAGCAGTCTGTATAAGCCAGCTGCTCTCTACAGTCTTTTGAACCTGGGTACCATGCTCAACCATGTTTGACTGTAGAGATCTATGATGTTAGTTTTCTGTAGGTTTTATAAAAAGAAGCAGTCTCAGATAGTTCAGTTCCCTTAACTAGGTTCATTCTTTGCCATTATTAGATACCGGTCAGTCCACATGGACAAGTAGTGTCGGATGGTCCTAGCTATAACGAAGACTCCTGCCCATCCTGCATTCTCCCAGGCTGCAGCTGTACCTTCATTCATTCCCTGCCAAGCTCAGACCTTCACAATTTTCTCTTGACTTTTACACTCTTTGCTTTGGGTCAGTTCTACCATTTCAAATGTCACCCAAAGCCTAATGAAAATACTAAATGCCAGACACCCCCCTGGAACTCTTTCTGATATCTCTAATAATGCTGTGAACAAAGTTCTGAACTGGATAGTATCTCTGTCTCAAATTTGCCTCCCTCTTTGTGAATATACAACCGAGGCATCTGCTGATTCACATGGCTTTTTACTCTGTCACAGAAAAAAAATCATATTAGTTAGGATAATTTTCCCACAAATCTATGTTTGCTGCTACTTACTGCATTGCTAAGGGCTTACAACTAGATTGATTATTTGTTAGTTCCCTCTAGAAATTGAAGTTAGGCTGACCGATCCATAATTCCCCATCTCCCATCATCATCTCCTTCAATAAAGAAAGGAACTGTATTTGCCATCTGAAACTTGTCTGTCTTCCATGGGTTCTCAAAAATAGCAGCAGATGTCTCTGAGTTGCCTGAAAACAACTTGCCTTATCTGGGTTTTTTTTCCCCATTCTAGCAAAAGCTTGTACTCAGTTGTCAGCAGTGTTAGTGCTGTGAGCCTACACTCAGACAGCTGAGGACTGAAGCAAAAAAAAAAAGCTAAATAGCTGGCCTCACTTGGTGTTTCCTTCCCACTGAGCGTAAATAAGCTTTTTTATTTTGGCCTTCCTCTTGTTTGGTTTTGTTTGTTTGGCATTTTTTACAGAAATGTTTTATCATCCTTAACAGCTCTTGGTAGTTTTATCTTGTTTCGTGCCCTGCCTTTCTGATTTTGTCCCCGTGTGCTCTTTTAAACACCTCTATTGATCTAGTTTCTACTTTTTGTACAATTCCTTGTGCTTTAGCCAAGTGGGTCTTAGTAATTTACTACACTTCCTATCTTTCCTTCACACAAGGGTAGTTTGTGTCTTTAAGAAGGTGCCAACTCTCCTGAACTCTTCTTCCCCTCAGAGAATAGACATATAAAAACCTCATGGGAAGGAAGTCTCAATTTATTAAAGTATTCCTCCTTGAGGCCCACTGGTTTTATTCTACTACTCTTTTCCCTTCCTTTTTTGAGCATTCTGAACTCTCGTGTCATTGTCACTATCATTTAAGTTACTTTCCACCTTTATATTCTCTACATGTTCAGTCCTCTTGGTCAAAAGTGTCTCATTTCTCTTACATGTTCACGTTCTACATATTTTTATTTTATATATAATATATGCCCAGAAAAATCCAAGAATTTGGACATGTTAGCCTGTATGCCTTTCCCTACAGTGACTAAGAAGTTAAAGTTCCTTACTACACACAATCAGGATTATAAAATGCCTAAACCTAGCATTTTTCAATTACATTCCTTCCATTTTCCTATGTTTTGTCTTTTTGTGTAGATGATTCTGGATTAATGTTGTGCCCTTCTCCAGCTTAAAGTCCCTCTGTCTTGTGAAAAGCAGGTTTAGCTTGTTAATGTCTTAGGAAAGCTTCATTCTTACTGTTGCACACTGCAGTATAGTCAGGATTCTGTTGTCTTTAAAGGAGCTGTATTACATTTAAAAGATCAGCGGTTGAGTCTTTCTCCTCGAACCATGTACCTCATAGCCCGTGTCTACAACAGGAGATTACACTGACCATGAATCGCCTGCTCTGGTATCAAACGTGGCCATCTCTCCTTAGACTGAATTATTACTTTGTGATGAGGTTTCCAAATACATATAGCATTTAACGTTGCATTCAGTGAATTAAACGCTTAACAGCCTTCTTCGTAGGATTGTAATTAATTGTTTGTAATAGACGTACCTTTCTTGTAGTTTGATGGTATCCATGTGGTGAGTGGATCTCTTGACACTTCCATCCGAGTTTGGGATGTGGAGACAGGCAACTGCATTCACACGCTAACAGGCCACCAGTCTCTCACGAGTGGAATGGAACTCAAGGACAATATACTTGTGTCTGGGAATGCCGATTCTACAGTCAAAATCTGGGACATTAAAACAGGACAATGTTTACAGACATTGCAAGGTGAGCTTAAACTACCTTCACGTAAATCAAGCTGCCTGCAGTAATCTATGCTTGCAGATTCTACATAAAAAAACCCTTTAAAATAATTACATACAAAGAAACAAGCATGGACCACTTACAACTTAAATAGTTTTCTGATGACATCTGTATGATCTTTCTCTGAATTAGAAGAACAAAATGTATTTAATCTAATCTATTCAAATCACTTGCCTATTATGAAAGGCAGATGGTCTGGACTGATAGCAATTTGCTATGGTTATATTAGCCTAATAAGCCACAGAAATATGTAGGAAATGACATCTCAAAACAGTCAGTCAACGTATTTATTTAGGGTCACTTGGATGTTTCAAAGTCTACTGATTAATTGGATCGGGAGGCAAAGTACACTGTCTGTTGCAATAAATCAAGAGCAATGAGTGGAAGATGTTTTCTTTATTTCAGTAAGAAGAATGATTTTTGTTTCCATTTTGACAGTTGCCACTCAGGCATTGTGCACACAAACACATTGCTTTGTTTCTCCCCACAAAAAAGGTCTTACATCATTCCTATATATCATATGCAGCATCGCTGGCTGGAGCAGAAAATTAAATTTCCTTATAAAGCAGACTCTGCTGTTTTAACAGTATATATTTATACGTCAATATATAACTGTCAATATTTACTGATAGAATAATCTCATAATAACACTTCAAAGGGACTTGGAGACAAACGCAGCAGTTATCTCATTCTGGACGGTTAAGTTCATTTTCATGAATATCAAAGTGCACACTTGCCCTACTGCTTGTATACAACAAAACGAGATCACTGTAACACAGAAGGAAATATTGGGGAATTTTTCTATACCCGTATTATTCACTTTTTGAAAGCACAGCAAGGCTTCTGTACCTTTTAATGTACAAAAACTGAGTTAACACATCTAATAGATAGAAACGGCTGTATGCAAATAGCTAGGTATTTATTCTATATGCAGTGGTGTCTGACATTGCTTTCTAATTACAAATAAAATCGTTTTGGTTTACTGTTACAGGTCCCAACAAGCATCAGAGTGCTGTGACCTGTTTACAGTTCAACAAGAACTTTGTAATTACCAGCTCAGATGATGGGACTGTAAAACTTTGGGACTTGAAAACGGGTGAATTTATCCGAAATCTAGTCACATTGGAGAGCGGGGGAAGTGGAGGCGTTGTGTGGCGGATCAGAGCTTCTAACACAAAGCTAGTGTGTGCGGTTGGGAGCCGCAACGGGACTGAGGAAACAAAGCTGCTGGTGTTGGACTTTGATGTGGATATGAAATGAAGGGCAGAAAGATGAATTTGTCCAAACGTGGACGATGTTCTCCTTTCCCTCCCCCTGAAAAAAAAAAAGAAAAAAAGAGAAAAAAAGAAAAAGGAAAAAAAATCCCTTGTCCTTGGTGGTGCAGGATGTTGGCTTGGGGCAACAGATCCTAAAGACCTACAGACTACGAAGGAGAAGACAAAGATGACAAACTATAACTGACAAGAGAGGCGTTTGCTGTCTCGTCACATAAAAAGGCTACACTTTTGACCGGGACAGCTTTGCAAAAATACGACTTTTGAAATGAAACCAGGTGCAATTATTTCTTTACTTTCCTCCAACTGCTCCTTGAGCAATTTGGAGGTGAAAAAAAAATTGTTACAGTTCTTGTTAACAGGTTATTTTACCACAAAGATCTTGAAAGAAGCTGCACAGGTGAGCCTGCTCGTGCACCCCTGGGCCACACTGGGTCCCGGCAGCCCCTCTGAGCAACATGCTGTCCCTTAGCTCCGCTCTGAGCAGGGGGTTGGACCGGACAACCTCCAGAGGTCCCTTCCAACCTCTACAAGCAGTCACTGGTTGACTTTCAAAAACTAGAGAGCATCTGCAATGAAGAAAAAAACAAAAAAAAGAACAAAAACAAAGAGTCCATTCCTGGTGTGGAAAAGCTAAAATATTACTGTGAATTGTTTTGTACAGTTTTATCAGAGCTTTTTCTTTTTTTTCTTTTATTCCTCTTTTTTTTGCCAACCATTGCCAATGTCAATCACAGTATTAGCCTCTGTTTAATCTATTTACTGTTGCTTCCATCTACACTCTTCAACGCATAAGTTGCTCTGAGGTGGCAAGTTGTCCTGGGTTTTGAGAGTCCTCTGATGGATTTAATTCGCAATGCTGGTGCTAGAAGTAGGTCTTCAATTACGGGATTGTTGTCCCACCCCTGTACTGTATTCCCAGTGGCCAAACTTATTTATGCTGCTAAATGAAAGAAAGAAAAGCAAATTATTTTTTTTTATTTTTTTTTTTCTGCTGTGACGTTTTAGTCCCAGACTGAATTCCAAATTTGCTCTAGTTTGGTTACAGAAAAAGACTTTTTGCCACTGAAACTTGAGCCAACTGTGCCTCTAAGAGGCTGAGAGTGGAAGAGTTTCAGACAATTAAGAGTGAAGTTTGCCTGCAAATAAAGAATTGAGTGTGTGTGCAAAGCTTATTTTCTTTTTTCTGGGCAAAAATTAAAACACATTCCTTAGAACAAAGCTATTGCAGCCTGTTCTGTGGGGAAATTTTTCTTTGTGAGGGCTGTGGTGAATGGAATGAACATACATTAAAAAAACTGACAAAATTTTTAAAAAATATTATAAAATACAAAAATTAAAATAAAGTTGCTGGTCAGTCTTAGTGTTTTACAGTATTTGAGAAAAAAAACAAACAACTGTTACAGTTATTGCTGGGAGGAACTGACAGAGCAAAAACTTACGTTTTTGTAAAGATGTCACACGCAAACAAAATGAGAAACGGAAGAGTCAAATGGTTTGCCTCATTCTCCAAGAGCCACAACTCAAGCTGAACTGTGAAAGTGGTTTAACACTGTATCCTAGGCGATCTTTTTTCCTCCTTTTTTTTTTGTTTTATTTATAGTCTGATTTAAAACAATCAGATTCCAGTTGGTTAATTTTAGTTATGTAACAACCTGACATGATGGAGGAAAACAACCTTTAAAGGGATTGTGTCTATGGTTTGATTCACTTAGAAATTTTATTTTCTTATAACTTAAGTGCAATAAAATGTGTTTTTTCATGTTAGTATGTCTTTTTTTTCCCCCCTCCTCTTTCTTGTTGTTAATTTAATATCATACATCCTACGAAGGGTAAAGCAGGTCAAGTTGCTCAGCTTACTGGTAGGTGCTAAAATATGTCGCAGGACTTTTTATGTAACCCTTCCACAAACAGGTGCGCAAGTGTCCTCTCCTTCAGTTGCCATATAGGATTTGTCACATGGGCTTCAACAAACATGCAGGAAAGCCATTAGCTTCCTATCGCTAAGAATGTGTCAGGATTTGAGTCCGGAGGGAGTCAGCTATAAAAAGCTGCTCAAGTACTTAAAACTTCTTCTGATAGCATCTTGTTACTGCATCTTAAATTGAAACAATGTTTATTATTTATGGATTTCAATCAATTGATTGCAGTCTGACAGCAGACAATAAATCCATAAATACAACTAAAATCAAAGTTAGGATTGTAGGAGAGCTTGAAATAAAGCTTCTGAAGAAAAAAAAAAAACACCCGACATCATTCCAGATCAGTCCCAACAGCAGTTTTATCAGTGCCCTGAAACCAAGGTAAGTCATCAGCTGTCTCAGAAACTTACCACTCAAGTGTCAGTTTCTCTCTCAGGTCTCCTTGACCAAAATCATTGTTTTCTTCTGTGTGAGACTCTTCTGTCAGGGCATAGCATTTACTTGTTTGTGACAGTTTTCCCTGTAGAAAACTGTCATTAAAGAAAACCAAACCAAAACATCAGAAGAGAAGATACATGGAAGGAAAAGAAAAATATTTACATACTTATACATCTATGACTATGTGCTATTCAAATGTAGTTCCAATCCCTACATTATGCAAAACAAGCGATGCTGAAGGATCACGCTTCCATCTGGCCTTGAGATTAAAAAGCCATACAAAATGACTGAGCAGCTACAAATTGTAAAATCTGTTCACTGAGTTCGTGTTTAAGGGAAAAAAAATTGCAACAAGCACTGACATAAAAAAGCTATGATCATCTTGGTATTTATGTAAAAAAAATTAAAGAGCTAATCCTCTCCTAAAATGACAGTGAAAGATTGCCAGGACTGACTGACTTCAAGTTGTTCTGCTGAGAACGCAGGACAGGACTTTCAGCCCCCTGATGACAGAAGGTGGATCAGTCTGGGCTGAACTACTTGTGAGAGGGGATGGAAATAGAAGGGTAAAAATATGAGTATTTAATGCAGGGAACAGAGCAATAGCTTTTGAGATCATGTAATTTTCTTCCATAATTTGTAGAAATTGCAACAACATGTTTTCAAAGAGCAAAGGCACTGGCCTGACGGGGCAGAAGACTGAAATGACAGAAGAGGAAAACTAACAAATCCAAATCAGTTCAAGCTGTGTTTAAGTACACTTCAAGCAGCCAATGTGACCAGGAGCAAAATGTGCTTAACCAGAATTGAGAAGTTTTCCAGTTGATAGTGTAGTTCCAACACTATCTTCTGTTCACATTGATGCAGAATAACTTGAACCTGTTAAGCAAACCACATCTATAGCTTCCTTCATCCCAGATTTAGGTTACAAAAAAAATTTGACTGGCTGCAAAGTCAAGATATGATGGACTGTCACATTAAAAATTGCTTTTTTAAAAGGTTTTTCCCCTTCAATAAAACAACTTTACAAAGTTAATTGCGATAGCGCTCTAAAGACTTCTGTTTTGTGCAAAGTCTGTTTAGGCTTGCAGGAGTTGATGTTGCTTATGAGACATCTGAACAACATAATTAATTAACATAAATCTGTTAATTTATTTAAGTGACAGCATTTAAAAAAATGGGCCTGTAGTAAACACATCATGTGTAAGAAACTGTTCAAGCAGTTTTTCTTCACAGTCTCCTTATTACCCCCTTTATGTTGACACGCTCACCATAACATAGTTCACTTAGTATGGAGTCTTCAGTTTGGCGGCACATGCGCCAGCTGAGGCTGTTGAGGAAACATCTTCATTTTGTGTAATTGAATTTTGATTTTAAGGTGGGTGGAGTGGTTTTGTTTCAAATAAAAACATTTAAGAATAGTAGTATAAGACTGTAACTGCTTTATGCTCTTAGTACACAGGCACTTCTTGAATCTAGTGGCTTAGTCATCGTAGGCTATGTCAGAATACCTGCAGCTATCCTAGAGAGGGAATTCCACTAGTGTATCTGGCATCTTACCCTCTTGTTTTAATGCTGATTCCCTTTTTTCTTTTTGTTTTAGCACCAGAAGGAGCTCCCTCATTTTCTCCTGTATCTGAAGCCAAATCAACAACATTAAAAGGGTTTTTTTAAATAGGTATTATTCTTAGTAGACCTTGATTTTAGCAAACAAATCAGAACTAGTATTGCCACTTCCTCCAAGAGCCTGTTCCTATGGTCTCAATTTACTTACTCAAGAGATAAGAGCAGACATTCAACAGCTGTGTCTACAGCAATTTGTAGTTCAGATCAGCAGCTCTCCCAACAGAGCACAGTGCTGCCTCGGAGCTCACACACAGGATTCCTTCAGGGTGTAACCGGCTCTGGAGCAGCCCTCCAGAAGCATGCCTCAGACACTCGAGCCACTAGTGAAGCACATGGGACCAAACCAGAGCTAGTCCAGCACCTCAAAAATACATTCACGTGGACATCAGGTCCTCAGGACCAGCAAATCTGCGCTACAGCTCTGCTCCTACTGCACAGCACTAATTGCTAGTAACCTTCCACAAGCCCTCTCCCACAGCACCCCTGGCTCCTCTTTTGTCATCGGCAAACAGCTCCCATGCAAACAGCAGAAAACCAGAATCTGCCCAATACCGCAACAGAGTTTTTGCCAGAGAAAAAAATGTTCGCATGCCTTCAACTCTCTTTCAACACGCTTATGGAGAGGTTCTTCTGATCGGCTTAGGGAATCCAGTTTAAAAGAAATACAAATCTCTCACTATCTCTCTGGACAAAAGTTTCTATCAGCAAGTCAACACCTGAATCATACAGAAAAAGAAATTATGAAATTTTGTAGTTAGATAGGCAAAAGAGCCAGATTATAACAATAAAAAAGAAAAACCTGCCAGTAGTTACTTGAGTCACTCTGACCAAACAAGTGTTAATTACTTAACGGGTAATATCCAAACATACTGACCACTGAATCTTTAATAATAAAGTAGGAATATTCTCTTTCCATCTCCTGCCGTTTTATCTGTAAGCTTGATCTCTGACGCTGGGCAAAGATACACGTGCTATGTGATGATGTTTAGTATTTTATAATGATACATGATGTTTATGATTATACATGAAGTATATGATCTATATGATATACACCAGGTTTTTCAAACTTCATCTAAAAATGGCATATACAATTTTTCAAACACCTCTTCAAGCATCAGTGCAGGTTTATAAATACAACAGATGTTTTAACATAAAAGCTGTTCCACGTCCCTTCTGAGATAGATGGTCTGACAAACTAGGTGTCACCAAAAAGTCGGCAGCCAGTACAGGTTCTTGCTCCCTGTTCAGATTGCCAAATGGCCCAGCAGCTGTAGCGGTACTTCAGAGAAAAGAAATGGTGCATTGTGCTACCACGAGTACCCGCTGCTGATGGGAAATGCTGCATCACCCTGTGTGACTGCGGTTGCCAAAGAACCAGTGGCTTTATACTGTGTTGCCCTAGCCCAGACGGGATGTTAGAGTCCTATAAAATTGTAACTAAGCTAGGACAGGATCTCCCCACCCACTAGAGATGCCAGAAATCATTAACCACAGAGGTTGCCACTCAAGAGCTTGGCAGCTCAAAAGAATCCAGCAGTGTTTCTAAACCCCACACTGTACAGGGCAACTGAGATTTGGCCAAAGGCATCCTCCAGCTCTCCTTTGTCCTCACCTCTGCCTTGCTTAGATCCAACTTCAACTACCTGGTCCCTACTCACAAGCTGATTTTGTCCAACCCTACGTGGTAGCAATAGTTTTGGTGAAAGATAAGCTGAGCTATTTGTCTTCTGCATCTCTGTGCTGCTGAAATCTATGCTGTACTTTTTGCCACTTTCTGCATGGAGACACACAACCTCAAGTCTAACATGGAATGCTCCAAGGTAGTACATGAAGGTGAGTAGACATCATTCAGCCCAGAGTGAGAGATTTATCATCAGTGTTGCTAAAATGATTTCCACCCTGAGTCTAGACTGAAAATAGTATTCTAGAGCTGGTGCTATTAGATAAGTTTCAAGTTGATTTCAATTCCTTATTTTTTCAGACACGATGCTTTTAATGACACAGACCTCATCTGGCCTGGGTTTCTTCATGCCTGCAAAACAGGCACATCCTAAGAAGCTTCGCAGTTTAAGCAGGATCATGAATCTTGTTGCCTGGAAGCTGGGAGAGGTCATGGTCTATGGACAGCAAAAAAACATGGAAGATCTACATGAGCTGGATCAGAAATGACCTATGAAATTTCAGAGAAAGGCAGGTGCAATGAATTTGGGGCTTTTTATGTCCAACAGATAATAATTGCAAGTCCTACAACAGCTAGCATGGGGTATTTCATCATCCTCATCAACAAAGCACAGCAGTAAGCTTTCTTTACGTGGCCTTTAGTCTGGCTGCCCTGTAATCGAGGATACGACCAACCATGTTAGCTCTGACTCACATGAACTTCTCTTACCTAGGGCAGGTTGTTTGATGGGAAGATGAATGAAATGCCGCCGGACCTCCTCCTTCTGTCTGGCTCTTCAGCCGGCCAGATGTCTGAGATGTAGGTTTTGCAGGGTGCTTACAATGCGCTATTTGAGAGTGCTTTGTTCTTTTAATTTAAAACAGGAAACACAGAATGTAGAAGATCCAAAAACTTCAAAGGCAGTTTCCATTGCCAAAGGAGTTGCATTTCAACTCAAGTTCATTCTCTAGATTAAATATTCAAATCTGACAGTGTGGGAAGATGCTCACACCTTCAAGAGGATCGACGATTTCTAAGGGATAGAGGGATTCAGATTAGTTGGCTGTAAATATCACTGTGGTAAACCGAGCAGTACAACGGTTCCTAAATGGGAGTTTTAT